TTTATTTATATTAATACTAAATATTTGAGGTAATCACAGTAATTACATATATATTCGGTAAATTATTATTTAAGATTAAATATTCACTCTTACGAGTATGCTTACATGCAAATACGCTATAAATTATTTAAAATACATGTTGGCTAATAATGAATTAAATGGAAAAAATTACTTTTTTAGATTTTAATTGCACACGCTTAAGTTATTCATGCATGATGTTTTAAAAATGTTTATAATTATTTGATGTTCGGTTCTTACTATTTTACTTCGGTTTGAACTTAATTAAAAATAACTTTGTATAATATACATATAGGAAGGTATAGCCTATTGTAATTACAATATAATATAATAATTATAACTATAATTTAACCTAACCTAACCTAACCTAATTATAGTATTTTTTTTTTTTTTTTTAACTTGGGATAAATAATTTTTTTCCAGTAAGGAATCACTCGTTTTACGGTTGTTTTTAAACTTTCACCTAATGGTATTTGATGTATATTTAAATTAGAGTAACGTATATCGTTTTTTGGAAAACGTTGGTCTGTTTCATCAATTTTTGGAGGAGTAATATCAAAACTTCTTCTCCATAAAGTTACTTTTTTTTCTCCGNTTTTTTTTTTTTTATTGATCTATTTGTTACAACCCGGCATCTTAGGCCATTAATTAATTATAGTATTTACTAATGAATACATTTGTTAAGTCATCGTTCTAATACATTCTATGAAAACTGAATAATATAATTTTTAGTTACGTAGAATTTATCTCATCCATAGTTTCGAGTGTTATTCTTCAATATTCCATAGTTCTAGTAATAAATAATCAGTAGTAAATACATAATGATGGCGTGTAACAAAATGTTGCAAAAGATATTTTGCGCCGGAATTTGAAATTAAAAATATGTTTTCATTCAAGTGGCTAAAAACTTTGAAAAAAATAAATGATTTATAAATATAAAAATAATAAAAAATGTTGTTTTGTAATAAATTGCTTAAAGTCATGTAAAAGAAATATTTTCAATATATTTTACTGAGTGTCTTATAATATATTAAACATATTCTCTCGTATATATTATTATATGATGTGTATAGTAAGCATTTTACTCTTTTTACATCTTTTTTTTCTTTTTTTTTTTAATCTAACAGTGTTGAAATCCTGCAATTACCTATATCATTAATAAAGCATTTGATTGTTATATAATAATACTTTATAAAAATAGTTTTTAAAAATAAGTTAATTAAATTTCGTTAATTAAATAATGAATTGCGCATACTATCTGAGTATTATCTGATATCCCCATCATCGTCCCCCCCCCCAGATTATGTAGTATATCCCTACATATTACGTCGTTGAAAAATATGATTTTCTTTCACTTTGGATTATTATCAAAACACAACTTGTTGTAAATACCCTCTGAAACTCGGTGTCTTAATATTAATAATTTTCGTCTAATCTTTTCTCTCTGCAAAGCTCGAGCACCACTCGTGTGCACAGCTTTTTACGTATTATTATTAATTATTATTATAGTGGAGACGTACGAAAATTAATATCATCAAATTGTAGCAGCACAGCCGCACAGGCACGTATATACACCGAGAAGGTATATCCGAGCTCGAAACCTTTAATTGAATGCCTTAGTGATTTGCATCATGCGTTACTACAAAATTTAAAACGTGTAAATTAATAATAATATAATATAATTTGACATGAAGCACCGCAACCATATGGAATTTCGTGAATTCTCATTCACACTGCACACACACATGTCTACAAGGCGCTAAAACCGAAATATGCGCGCAACGTAAACCTATATAAAGTTGTATCAAAACCAAACAAATATATATAATGGTAATATGAACGTTATTATGATTTCGACCACTTGTGTGTGTGTGTAATGGACTGTTTATTATGTTTGATATATGATAATAATTCATTATGTACCAATAAACATTGCAGAATATTTTACTTAACCAGTTTCGCTATGTATAGCTCAGGTTTTTCGACAAACCAATCGAATAATTATCTATTATGGTAAATATAGTTATTGGCCAGATATTCAAACAGTAAGTTACTCGTATATTGTACCTATCATTGTACGAACGGTTTTAAAACATACATTGCATATATTACGTACACAAAATATTATAATAAAGGTATTTATTCTTATTATTATATTATGACAAAAACGATAAATTATACACAGAACTCAAAAATAAATGTAAATAAAAAAGTTAGGTGATAAGCTAAATAAAAAAATAAAACTAAATAGGTACGTTTAATGTTGTAAATATTTTTATGTCCTGCACTTTGCATCAGAAATCTTTAAAACATGCAATATATTTATATATGCATGCATTTATACCCAAAAATGTTTTATTGTTTTTAATTTCATGTCCACTCCTCCCCTACCATGACATTTGTTATGCTTATCTGTGTATACTTTCTTCGGATTATATTATTAATGTATGGGTGATTTATATTTATATCGATATTTTAAAATTGTAACCTTGGTGAATAAAAAACAGATAACAATTTTTATTTTTTAGTATTGCGACTTGCAATATAATTCAATAAAATTACCCCCCCCCCCTAAATTTAAATTTAATAAAAAGGAAATCAATAAAAACAATTTTAAAATTATTATTTAAACGTTTAAAATAAATAATTGGTAAAAATAGGAAATAATAAAAATTCGCGTGTGGTCACGATTCAGGAACACATTATTATTGTTATTTTATGTATATGTTATATTTTTTACTTATTTTTTTCTACCGATTTTGGCCTTGGCTGAACGCTCCTCTCTCTTCTCCATATTTACCTTGCCCCCTCCACCCACACACACATATACACATTTTCCACGAGTTCTGTAAGTTGCGTATATAGTATTATTATACACTTATACCTATCAATACGTGTGTTACTTTCTATCTCAGTGTTTATACGATAATAATATATTCGTGTGTATCCGTAGATAAAAACATGAACTGTCCAAGAATTATCGATTAACGATGGTCCAACTATTATTATATATTTTGTAATATCTATAGTTAAGTACCTAACATCGTTTATTCAAGGATTCAAGATCCTACAACTATAATATATATATATATATGACGTATATAATATATAACTGACTTCAACCATTAATTATAAATACATATATATACGCGATCCGCACATCGTACATAGTATTATTATACGTACTGCAAGTAATGAATAGCTATGAAACATCGACATCGAAGTTTTCGTACAGAGAAAAATAAAACCATAAAAATCTTTCGATTAGATTTGATATGCTATCATCGCGCACAGTCCATAAAATAAGTATATTATCATATTTATGCCTTTTAAATAATAAATATGATGTATTTAATACTGTCGTTTGGTTTAATATTTTAAAATGTATATAATTCCATCAAACATTGGTCAGCGTGTGCACTATATATATTCTATATGTATATATGTATATAGCTGCTGCTATATGACACCAACTCCTCAAGACGTGTATATGGTGAAAAATAATAATCTAATAATATATTATTGTATAACAATATGCACTTGAAATTTGTAACTAAAGGTTGAGTTTTTCCGAAAACCAATAAAAAAAATAATAATATTAATATGCAGTGAATATTTAACATACTAAGTAATATAATACAAGGTGTAACAGATTGAACTGACTTTTGCAATAATTTTCGATCAAATAAATATTTTTTAATTTCATTAAGTGACCCTGGCACTATTACGTGTATAAATACAATATTATGTTTTTATGTTTATTTTTTAGTATAGAAAATAAAAAAAATTAATTTAATTAAAATTGTTTGGATAAATTCAAAATAGCTTATTTGTGACAATCTGATTATAAGAACAATTTTGATGGTAAAAAGATTGATCTAAGTCAAGTAGTTTATTTTTTGGATTTTTTTTTAAATTCAATATTTTTGTGGTTAAATTAATTTGGAACGCAATAAATTTTTTTTAAATATAATTTTGAGAATTTGCTGACATGAGTCCTAACCTAACCTTAAATTATTTAMTTATCGTATAATATTAACAATTTTTGTCATACGTTTAATTAGCATATTTTTAATTTTTTTTGTTAGGTCTTCCTGTTACTCCCTGTATACATGATATATATTGTTATATTATATATAAGTATGCCTACATCGTCAGCTACTCTATATAATAATATATAGTCCACAAGTGTTAACATTGTTTTTATAATTTTCTATTCTTTCGAATTTCTCTGTAGGTATTCGGAATTAATTTATTTCGCAATATTATATTAATCCCTGTGGGGGGGGGGGTCAGAATACACCCACGACAGTCCATGCCCGTCGTAAAAGGCGACCAAAATGGATCTAACAATGGGCAGCAACATTGTTAGTATCAAGTAGAGATTCATCTTTACTTGAATAGCATCACTTAGTTATAAGTGATGTCATTGCGATACAGAAGGCAACGGGAAACCACTGTATTAATTTTCCCAAACATTAAGCAATGAAGGACAACCATAAGAATAGGAAACAAGACGATGGGATTCGGAACCCGGAGTCCGGC